ACAGCTCTGGAACAATCTTCTTCCTTGAGGTTGTGCAATTCCATCCTGAAAGCACTCAGACCTGCACCATGTCCCAGAGAACAGGAGTGTTGTTACTGGTCAGAGATCCTGCAGAAACGAAGTGATGGCCCCAGTGCTGTTCAAACAAAGAGAGGGAGGTTCCAGCACCAGGAACCTCCTGCCAAGCTCAGTAACATACTGAGATATTGAAACTCTGTTTTAGGCCAGGAATCACGGTGGAAAAGGGACGGAAACATCCTAAACAAAACCCAGATGCTCTGGGATATGAAATATTTCAAAATAAAACATGAGGGAAAGTCAAGTTAAAGGAAGGTCTAGATACTGAGAGTAAGGACAGGCTGAAGAGCAGAGGAAGCTGCTTCTCCCAGGTCAGTTCTTCTTCTTAAAGGCTCCTCCAGCCTCAGGACATCACTCAGCACCCTCAGGTCTGTGACATGCCATGGTTCCCATCTGCTGTTTGCTGAGCCACAGGCACTGACAGCACTCCAGAGCCTCTGGCAGTGCTGGGCTCCCTTAACAAGCCCCCAAACCCCACATGTGTTCCAGGACATCATCCAAGCTGAGCCAGGGTCACTGCTAAGAGCCTTGGCTCTGTGTTCCAAATAACTCAAGAGATTTTCCTGGGATCTTCCAAGAGCAGCCTCAGAGGCAGCACCCCCAGGCTCCAGGGCTGTTTGTGTGTTACATTTATGGATAAACACCTGAACTGCTCTGTGTGCCCTCCTTCCTCCTGCTGTTGCTGCATAAACTCGACCTGCGTGGTCCCCACACCAGCCATGCCAGTGCAAAGCAATGTCACCCAGCTTAATGTGTGAGCTCAGTCCTGAAGAGACAGGAATTAATTAATATTTTCCCATCTCCTCCAAGCAGGAATGCACAGGAGCTCACCTGAGCTCTTACCCTGCCAACTACTCCTGAGGAGGCTCCTCTTCCCACCACTATATTCTCACCCTGAAGAAGGAAAAGGAACCAGGCAATGTCCAAAATAAAATAATAAAACACACATTACCTTTGCCCCTGGGCAGGAAACCTAGTAGCTGATCATCATCTTCCTTTGAGGAGACAAAGCAATTAAACAACAAATCACATGGCAGCAGTGGTGGTGAGAAATGAAGAACCTGATGAACTTTCTGTCCAGGATCAGCATCTTGGAGCCACAGCAGGCAGCTCTGGTCTCAGGGTAACACAGAGCTGTGAGCCCAGGGTGGACGGAGCTCCCCTTCAGCCTATCCCCATGGTAAATACTAAAACTACTCACATGGGCTTGCTCTGCAAGCAGAGGGAGCAGCAGCTGAGCCCAGCCAGAGGGAGCAGGGTCTGAGGGCACACACAGACCTGAGCAGGCACTGAGCAGTGCCCCAGTGCCCTCCCCCAGCTCCCCCCAGCCCTGGCACACTGGCACAGGATGAGCTCTGTGTTAGCTCTGCCCTGCCAGGGCCTGGGGCTCTCTGCCAGCTGGGCTGCAGCCAAGGCAGCAATTCCAGTGCTCCAAATTCCAGAGCTGGAGCAGCTTCCAGCTCTGCCTGCCAGCCTTAACCCTTTCAGCACTGCCCCTCTCCCACAGCACAGTCACCCCTCTCTGTGTCCCAGAGCATCCAGAAGGGTGGAACAGGGGGTAGCAAACCCATCAGGAATCCAGAGCAACTTGGCATCAGCCAGGATGGAGGAATAGCACAGGCACCTCCTGAGATACAGACACCTGTGCCTCTGCTTCCCTGTGCTCAAGATAAAAGTATTTCCCTGCTCTCCACAGTAACACATGAAACATGGGAGCAGACTTAAGGGACATTGGTGTCTGTGTGTGTGGGCAAGGTCCTTTCACTCTGTCCTGTGCTGGGCCAGGAGCTGGGCTTGATGATCCCTGTGGGTCCCTTCCATCCCAGGATGTTCTCTGACTCCATAACCTCTGAGCAGAGCTCCCAGCCAGCACTCAGCTGAACAGAAAGTCCACTTCACCTTATATTCCTAAAAGGTATGTACAGATGTGTATTTAAAGTACAGATATGTATTTAAAGGTTAAAAAGTACATGTACAAGAGGCATGAAAAGACATGTAAGGTGCTGTACTCCACATATGAGGAGTGCAGTAGGAATTCCTGGCCAATGGACATCACTGGGAGCACCCCAGGTGTGGGTGGGATGCTGAGGGAAGTTTGCTGCACACACACAGAACTCCCCTCCTTTGGGACAGCCACTGGGACCTGTCCCCCCAGGCTGAGCTGGAGAAGCTCTGGGTGCACAGGATGAACTCTCCCACATTCTGCCTTGCTCTGTAGCCCAGCAGAGCCAACATCCATCCCTAACCTGTGACCAACATGGAGAGAGGACCAGGACCCACCACAGGCACTCCCAGAGCTCCATTTCTCCTGTGTGATGTGTTGATTTGGATCCCCCAGCTCCAAGGTGTGCAGCATGCAGACAGGAGCACCAGGAGATGCCCAGGAGCCCACAGCCACTGCACAGCCAGCACTGGAATACCAAGCAGGCAGGCAGGCTGCTCCTCTCCTTGCTGTTTGACCTCTCTTTCCTCCTTTAACACACACACATGGCCTAATGAAAGCTCCATGGAGTGGCTGGGCCCCAGCTCCAGCAGCTCCAGCTCAGCAAACACTGCTGGGACTGGGAGGCCCTGGAGATGGAGAAGGACCATGAGAGATGGAGAAGGACCTTGGGAGATGGAGAAGGACCTTGGGAGATGGAGAAGGACCATGGGAGATGGAGAAGGACCATGGCTGGGAGAAGCCCTGCACTCCTCCACCTCTGCTGGCAGCCAGCAGCAGAGACAGATCAGAGCTGACTGGAGTTACCAGCATTAAATAAACATGCTTGCCCTCTTTGAAGTTGTGCTTCCCTTGAACATGAGCTCATTCCACGAGGCCTCTTTTTGCTACTCATTCTCCATGGAGTTAACTCTTCACAGGACTCTCCACCTTCCACAAGGGCCAAAGTCAGCCCAGCAAATGAGCACAGAGCAGTTTCCCACAGCAGAAGCTACTGCCTGCATGTCTCTCCAGTTCTCTTTAAGAGGAATTCCCACCAGGAAAGGGAAACTGCCTGACTCCACCACATGGTCCTTCAGGCTGGCACATGGAGAAGGTTTATTGGAGCTCAAGGAAAAGGCAATTCCTGTGTGGTGATGCATCCTCCCACCCTGCCAAGAGCAGCACTCTCAGGTCTGGGAGGGCTGTGCTCAACCCTCCACCACAGCAGGGCTGAGGAAACACAGGAGGAATTTCATTAGAGAAAGCTCCCAATACTCTGCTCTTTTGGTTTAATCCCACAAAGTGCAAGTGAGAAATTCTCGGTCAGGAGAGGGAGCAGACAGTCACAGAGGGAGAAGCAAAAGCACAAAGACAAGGCTGATCTCAACTCCCTGGCATTTTTGCATGGCTCATGCAACCCCTGCCAACCTCTGCTCTTGTCCCAGGAGTTGCAAAAAAAGGACAAAGAGAGTAGAAATTTGCCTGAGGGTGAGTGGGGAGATGTGACTTTTTGGGGGTCACTATTTTTGTACACAAGCAGAAGTGCAGAGTGACTGCACATGGAGCCAGTGGGAAAGGGAGAAGCCATCCCAGCCACTTGCCAAGGGGTGGCACAATGGGATCTTGTTTCTGGATTATTGACTGGGCCTGCTCACTCACAGCTTCAGCCCCTGGCAGATGAAGTGAGGAAGAGGCTGGGGAGGAACAGAGCTGCCTGTGCTGGGGCTGAGGGTCAGACAGGTTCCCACTTCTCCTGAGAAGGCAGCTTCCACCATTCTCCTGAAACCTTCCACCCCCAGATAACTGCCAGGAAAGCTCCTACCAAACACAAAAACATCTTGAGCCACTTGTGCAGTACCTGAGAGACACTCTGGAGATGCCTGTGAGAGCACCAGGGCTCCACTGGAGCAGTCAGCCACTGCCTGAGAGGGCCCCCGTGCTCAGCTGGGACACAACAAGCAGCAAGAAGAGAGGGAGAGGCTGGGAATAGCAAGGCAAAATGTAGAAATCCAAGGTAAAGAGGAATCATCAGCCAAGGGGAGCTCACAGCTTGGCTTGCACACAGATCACCTCAGGCAATGCACTGAGACCAGCCCTGCAGCCCTGAGCACTGACCTGGCCCATGCCAGGGACACAGGGCAGCACCAGCCTGACAGGGCAGCATGAGCTGACCCAGGACTTCCAAAAGGAACAATCTTGTCAGAGAAATGCCCTTCCTAAGCAATCCTTCAGCTCTGGCAGACAGGCTGTTCTCCTGCCCCTCATTTCATTGACCAGCAATGTGCAGGGCTTGCCAGCCAGAGGGATGTGCTTGGGGACAATGACAGCCCCCTGAGCCCAAACACAACTGTGATGTGAGAGAGACTGAGACATGTCTTGAGAATCAAACCAGCCCAAACACAACTGTGATGAGAGAGAGCTTGAGGCAGGTCTTGGCAATCAAACCAGCCCAAACACAACTGTGATGTGAGAGAGCTTGAGACACGTCTTGAGAATCAAACCAGCCATCAAACCGATCGCTGGCCATCAACAGTTCCCCAGCATTGCTCCTACCCAACAATCACAGCCCCAGGAACAAGGCAGGCACAACCTGCTCCACACCTGCTTTGTCCACGTTCACAGCAAAGAAAACTGCCCCAGGTACAAAGAGGAGCAGTTCTACAGCTTCACACTTCTCATTATTCCCCCTGAGAAAAACTGCACGGCAAAACGTGGTTCAAAGGCGCAGGAAACACTTCAAGGGAATTCCTGGAGAGGAGCAGACCTCAGCAATGTTGTATCCAGCACCATCCCTCCCCAGAGCCACCATCCTGCCCAGCTTTATGGACAGCCACTCCTCAGCACCCTGGTGCCAGAGCTATAGGTCTGATCACCTTTACCATGCACAAAACCCACACAGAGCACCCAGGTGTCCTTGCTGCCAGTCTCTGCCTGCTTTGCTGCTCTTTGAGAGCTGAGTGGAGGAGCCAAGCCAGCTAAAAACCAACGTGGGCCTTACCTTTTGTACCAGGGGGCTGCAGATTATCTCCAGTCAGCGAACACCAGCCTACGGGAAAGATGTCCCGGGAATCATATCGGCACCAGTAATCGAAGGCACCTCTCCAGCCATCAAATGTTATCAGGACCTCAGAACCTCTCACCTCCCCAATGGTGGCCGGGCAGATGAAGTGAGGGTTCTTCCTGTCCACTGCCTCCAGCTTCATACCTGTCTTGAAGAAGTTTTGGGAAGGAGATGGTGGTTCCTACAAGAAGAAGTGGAATATATGCTCAAAGGGGATATGGCAGTGCCTCCCCACACCAGGGCTGTGCCCTCACCAGCAAACTCAACTCCACAAGGAGCTGAAGGGAGTTAAGGGGGCTGGATTTGAACCCCAATAGGCTACACAGCCACTGCCCTTTGATCAAGAGGCAGCAAAGTCCACTACTCACTGCTGGACTGAACCCAGGAGTGGGACATTCCACAGAGGTGCTGATGTTCCCACCCTGCATTCCCCACATTGAGCAGCACCTGCAGCCTCAGTGAAAAACCAGCTCCTGCCTCAAGCCTGAGCCCTGAATGCCAAACACTTCCTTGGCAGACCTCTGGCTACATCCTGACACTGCTATGACAGCTGGAGAGGGGACAGCTCTGTCCTAGAGCAGCCCTGAGCTGTGCAGTGTCACCTCCTATGGGACCAGCACATCTCTGATGAGACACCAGCCCAGAGTCTGCTGCTCTGCCAGAAAGATCTGCACAAACAGGGAAATACCTTGTGAAAAATCCGGACAGGAGCCATCTCTGCTCCATTCAGAGTCTTCAGAAGGAACATGGGCCAGGAGGAGGCATTGAGGCGGAAGCCTGAGGGGAGGGAAGCGGAGATGGACACTGTTAGAGTGCAATATTCACTGTCTGACTGCAATATTCACTTATCACAACAATCCCATTGACCATCCAGACTGAGCACTTTGTGCAGCATCAGTGCTGCCAGCTCCTGCTGCAGGGGAGACATGAATCAGCAAGTGCACACTCAGGGCTATGGAATTTCTTTCTCAACAGGGAATCACAGCTTCTGGGTGGCCTCCTCTACCTCTAGTGTGAGCTGCAGGCAAGCTAATCTGGAGAAACAGAGGCTGTGATTTGGCTGGAACATATTATAGGGAAGGATGGCAGGTTTTGGCTTGACACCTGCTGTGAAAAAAGTGGAGAAATAACAAGAGAGGGCTTATGGGAAGAAAAAAGCAATTTCACATGCTCTGAAGTATGTGGCATGGACTATGACTATACAATCAACAGAAGGCTCTGGATATCACAGAATATCTTTGCTAAATGTGCATCTTCTTGGACAGGCAATTTCTGCTGCTCAGCTGTGTTTGGGGAGTTTTGAAGGTAATCCTGGCACTGGATCTGGACCAAGAGCATGGCAGAACTTTGCCAAGGTTGCAGTGCTCAGCACAGGTCACCCTGCCAGCCCTGAGCTCTGTCAGATCAGCTTGGAAACCAACCCAAG